CTTGTGTTCTAGAGCGGGGTGGCTCGTGGGAGGAGTTGTTACCCACTGTGGAGTTTGCCTACAATAACAGCAATCACTCGTCGATCAAGATGGCACCGTTTGAAGCTTTGTGCGGTCGTAAGTGCCGCTCACCCCTTTACTGGGATGAAGTTGGCGAGAAACAGGTTCTCGGTCCCAAATTGATCGAGGACATGGTGCAGAAGGTAGCCGAGATCCGAGCGAAGCTGAGAGAGGCACAGAGCCGACAGAAGGCCTACGCTAAAAAGCGTAGAAGGGAGCTTGAGTTTGAGCAGGAAGATAAAGTGTTTCTGAAGGTCATGCCAATGAAAGGCGTTGTACGCTTTGGGAAGAGGGGGAAGCTGCAGCCCCGATTCATAGGGCCATCCGATATTCTCGAACGAGTTGGCGTAACAGCCTACCGTGTGGCGTTACCCCCAGAACTCTCGGGTGTACACAACGTCTTCCATGTGTCGATGTTGAGAAAGTATGTATACGACCCGAGCCATGTAGTGAACTTTGACGAGCTACAGGTCGGGCAGAACCTGACGTATGATAAGAGGCCGATAGCAGTTCTGGACCGAAAGATTCGACGGCTGAGAAACAGAGATATAGAGCTCGTCAAAGTTTGCTGGAGTCGCCACGACGAGTCGGAAGCCACTTGGGAGAGAGAGGCCGAGATCAGAGCTCGATATCCAGATTTCGATTTTTGAGTTGTATCAGTTGTACCTTGTGTACTTTTATCTTATGCTTTTGTATATAGTTCGTAGTAGGAGTTCTGACCTAGTACCCTAGTTTTGTCTTTCCGAGGACGGAAATATTTTAAGGAGGATAGGTTGTAACGCCCCGATCAGTTATAATATTAGAACGGTTTCACTTGCTCGACTATAAAGTGAAACCGGTGGTTTTTCAGATTTTCCGAGTTGTTTGATTTAAGATTTTTACAAGAATTATTGTGATATAATTGTGTTTATATGAGAATTCTTTGCTCATGTATGCTAGTTTATAAGTTCAAAATTTTCATTCGTGCCAAATCGCTGATTCTCTCGTGCCGAACTCTAACCGTGCGTTCGCCCGAGCCTCGAGGACCTTAGCGATAGGGCATATGAGTTCAGTTATTTTAGCCATGTTAATTCCATTTTCGGTCATAAAGATCGAGTCCAAGCCAAGCATTAGACTCGCGAGATCCCTAGCCGCGCGCGCTTTCCACCGAGTCTTAGTCGAACCCTTTGAGACCCTAGCCATCCTACCTCATTAGTCTTGGTCCCATACTCATGAAGTCTGAGTTTTAGGTGTTAATTGATGTCTAATTAAGCTTTATTTAGAGTTAAGAAAGATTTGAGCAAGTTTAACATTCCTTATTCATAAGCTAGTGCATCATGGGCATGAATTGTTTAATGTGAGTGTGTAAGGTCTTGTTCCCCATCATTCTTAGTGCCATGACCTGAATTTTCCAGCCCTTTTCAGTCCAATTTCGTGCTCCATGAGACCATAGTTCCCCACTTTCACTCAATCATGCAAAGAATCATGCATTGGAAATGAGTTGGTGCAAGTTTTGTCTCCCACTTTGTCTCCATTGTGAGCCTTGTTTATAATGCCCAAGGACCAGCTTATAAAGCCTACATTCAGCTCTTAGAAGACTTCACTTGATTCCCCAACACTTAGTAAAAACTAGAGCTTAAACTCCTTCAAAGCATCAAAACCGAGAGTGAGTAATTGAGAGCAAGCAAAAATCCCGAGTGCACACTTTGTGATTAGTTTCAAGTTCTATACATAAAACCTTCATCCCCTTAGCATAATATCACTCTTAACTCATTATACATTCTCCATAGAAGTGTTTTGAGGCTTCAAGGTCAATAAAAGTCGAAGAGATTAAGCTCAAAGTCGAGAGCAAGAAGAGGAAGGCAACATTCGAGTATACCCGACTTCTTTTGCCTTTTCTCGAAGATTAAGAGGTTGGTGTACTCAAATCTTTCTAGAATTTTAATATAGATGAGATAAGGAGTAGAATGATATATATATATGTGCCATACATGTTCAGTTTTTAAGTAGTTATAAGCATGCAAGAAGTTAAAGTCGTCCTAGCTCGCATGAGTGTTTCTTATGTGTTGTTTGCTTGCATTTTTGGCTATGCTATGAAAAACCTGAGAAACTATGCTTTATATAGCTGTTTCTTGTGTAAAATAGAAGTTCATAAGATCAAGAATCAAGTCGTTTAGACTAGTATAACTCGAGTTATAGATTTTTGAAGATAAGTATGCAAGTTGATTTTATATGGCAAATTTCAGCTACGACTTCAAACGCGAATAACTCGAGTTCTACTCAGGATAAAATTATGACATTTTATAGACATGTTTATATATGAGTTAAGAGACTGCATACCAATTTTCATGATTTTATCTTAATAAATGAGTGAGTTATTAATTTTACAAATAGATGGTGCAAGCAGTTTTTTTTGTAAACCCGGCAGCATGTTATATTAAATGTATGACCTTTTTATCATATCTTAATGTGCTCAAACGTAAAGATAATCTGCATAAAAGTTATAGGTCTATTTCGTACCTTTCTAATAAGGTAGAGTGCATGCTGATATGAGGTCTATAGTGTGAATTAGAGTCTAAATACTGAGGTGCTGTTGTAACATAAATTTGTTTCTGACAGATTTCATGAACCAAATATTTCATGTTTAAACTCATTGAGAGCATTGTTATTTGCCAATGTAATCTTAATAAAAGTTGTAAATATTTGAGTTAGCTTCTATGTGGTTTTTGAATCTCACTAAAAGCATGTTTGTAGCTTCATTTATCCTACAATTACTGAAGTCCTGTCAGCTGTATGATTTCAATTGTGGACTGCAACTCGGTTATGAATATTTGTTGAATTATCTCCTCCTAAATGACCTTATTTGTTTTCTATGTCTTCATAATAATTGTAGATGCATGTATTAGGTTTAAAATGCAACTAGAATCGTGATTATATGACAAGTGTGCTGTAAGTTATGTTGACTTTAAAATCGCTACGAGGGTTAGGTTTTGAAAACTCTTGTTTTATTTTCGGAAATAGAGTTACATTTTAAAACGCGTACTATTATAGCCTATATGTGCTGAGTTAGATCAAGCGAATGTTTCTTATATGTTTATATAGCTTAAGGAGAGTCGAGCCTCCGACAGCTACTTCAGTTTCAAGCACTTGCAACAGATATTTTCAGTATACCACGTGGGTGTCATGTACTGGATTCCACATCATATATAATATTTGTACCATGATAGAGGTATGTTCGAGGCAGTTGGTTTTTCCCAGGTGGAGGCCGAGGGCCTTAATATCCCATCTTGGGACCCGGTGGAGGCCAAAGGCCTTAATATCCCATCGGGGTGTGCACACGAGCGGCCAATGGCCGAGGCTCTTTTGACCATAGTAAATTAAGAAGAGAAAGTTTACAGATTAAGCTCTTATATATTTATGTTCGTGATACGATATTATAAATGTTGTTTTATTCAGTACTGGTCTTTGCGGAGCATAGTGGTTTGTTCACGCCCCCATTGTGTTTTTCAGGAGACAGAGTCGAGCGTGCCGGATGAGCACAGACGTGGCAAAGCGTGGTCATGAGAATATTGGACATTTTTACGCATATTTTATGTCCCATATTTATGATCATGTATTATTCGGATATGTATGCATGTATTTTCTGTATTTCGGATGCTTCCGCTAGCAGACTAGACAGTGCGAGACAGTTCAGACATTGCATGTTTAATTCCATTATCCGTAGCGGATAGTTTGGTTGCGTGTTTTATATATGTCTATGAGCAAGTTAAGTAAGTTTTTATCTGTGACATCCCGCAACCAGTTAGTATTTTCGAAAACCAAGCTCGCACGACCTTTCGAAAATAAAAGCGAAAATTTTACTCTGATTTTCAAAGCTAGTAAGGCGGGGTATGACATAAACTACCACTTTCTCCCCATCTCCGAACTTCCTCTTCTTCGTGACCAAATCCTTGAAGAACTTCACGTAAGAAGGCATGTTCTTGATCACTTCCAGAAAAGGTAAGTTGACGTTAACTTTCGAGAGCATGTTGTACAGATCCCAGAATTGTTGCTCTTGTTTCTCATCTCGAAGTCCGCTTGAGAAAGGGATGCGTGGCTTGTAAGGGTTTGGAGACTTGTGAAGCAAAGGACTCTCTGTCGGTTTTCCCGAGTCGGTTTCTGTGCTCTTTCCGCTCTCCTCGGTTTCTTTGGGCTGGTCGGTTGGTTTGGGGTCATCAGGCTCGGGCATTCTCACTTTGTTGTCCACTTCCTTCCCGCTCCTCAACACTGTTATTGCCTTTGCTTGCTCGGGCTGGCTCGGGAGTTTCCCCTTGTCTGACTCAACCTCCATGTTCCCGACTCTTGTGGCAAGCTGACCCACTTGCGTCTCGAGACGCTTAATAGATGAGTCCTAGTTGGTGATAAACTGAAGGATCTTGTCCAGCTTGTCATCTTGATTTGACGAGCTTGAACCAGACCCTTGGGCTTGTTGTTGAGGTTGTTGTTGTTGTTGGTGGTTGGGTCGAGGGATGAAGTTGGGACGAGGTTTTTGTTGCATGAAGTTTGGGCGGGATTGCTGTTGGTTGAAGTTTGGTCGAGGTGGCTGGAGGGTGTTGCTGTTGTTGGACCACGAGAAGTGTGGGTGATGTCTCCACCCGGGGTTGTACGTATTAGAGTAGGGGTCGTTGGGCTGCCGGTTCTGATAACCTTGGAGGGCGTTGACGTCTGCATATTTCTCTCCTACCTCCTGGTCAAATGCTGATGGGCACACCTCGGATCTATGCCCCAGAAATCCACATGCCCCGCATGGGTCTACTGTCATGGTCT